ATGTCTAGAACAGAATGGTTGTTAGTTAACTGAAATAATATATCTGTAATAAGCAAAATAGTATAATTATTCATCGTTTATAAGTATGCTGAATAAATTCAAAATTCAATATAATAAGCCTAATAATACACAGACTCGTTTAATGGTAGTCACTGGTCTACTTTTTATCGACAATTATCTATACAAAATATTTTGGATCAGCCGGTCTGACAATATTAGCAGTAGCCTATTGAGAGACAGAACAAACCAAATTCCAGAGGAGGGAAAGAATCAGGACGAAGCGCTGAAAGTAGATAGTACAAACATTGAGGAAAACACCAAAATGTGTCACAAGACAAGCCCTCACTTGGATTCTTCAAGACTAAAAGAAAAGAAATAGAACAAGGAACACGCTAATTTGAGAATCGGAGACAGGCATGAGAAGAACTAGAAAGGAAAGTCCAGGACAGAGTTGGTTGGAGAATGCTGATCGGCATCCTATGTTAAATTAGGGGTAATAGGTATAAGTAAGTAAGTAAGTAAGTAGGTAAGTAAGTAATTAAGTAAGTAAGTAAGTAAGTGTATAAGTAATTAAGTAAGTAAGTGCATAAGTAAGTGCATAAGTAATTCAGTAAGTAATTAAGTAATTAAGTAAGTAAGTAAGTAAGTAAATATTGACGAATTGTCTAGACATTTTATGCCAACTGAATTCTGTTGATCAAGTTTCACTGTAACTAGTATTTTCTGCGACATTACATCGGAATATACCACCTATTGACGGTAAGTGGTTGAAACGAATGATGGCCGATAGTTTTTTTTCATAACAAAAACTTAACAAATAATCTTGAAATAGACGAAATCAAATTATTCTCATTCATTCAAGATGATTGAAAAAAAGAAATGCTTGCTAATCATTGAACCAAAACTTGAAATTCAAACAAATTTTGTCACAAGGAATAATTCTGAATAAAAAAAATATAAAACAATTATTTAAATAAATAGCCAGTAGCAAAATTTGTTTTCCTCTTATTAAAACTAATATCTGCTATCAATATATATTTTTATTCTTGATGGACATGAATGGAAAATGTTTTTTATGATGAAAATTACTTACTTACTTACGCCTGTTACCCCCAATCGAGCATAGACCGCCGACCACTATTCTCCAACCAACTCTGTCCTGGGCTTCCTCCACCAGTTCTGTCCAATGTTTGTTCATTCTTCTCATATCTTTCCCTATTTCTCGGCGAAATGTGTCCCTTGGCCTGCTTCTTCTCCTTTTGCCCTGAGGGTTCCATGTGAGGGCTTGTCTTGTGACGCAGTTAGGTGCTTCTCGCAGTGTGTGTCCTATCCACTTCCACCACTTCTTCCTGATTTCCTCCTCCATTGGAATCTGGTTTGTTCTATCCCACAGTACGTTTGTTGCTAATGGTGTCTGGCCAACGAATCCGAAGTATTTTGCGTAGACAGCTGTTAATAAACACTTGTATCTTCTGGATGATGGCTTTGGTAGTTCTCCAAGTTTCCGTTCCATACATTAGAACTCTCTTGACATTTGTATTGAAAATCCTGATTTTGATTTTGGTTGAAAGTTGTTTGGAGTTCCAGATATTTTTCAACTGTAGAAACGCAGCCCTTGCTTTGTCAGTCCGCGCCCTCACATCTGTATTTTTTCATAATCAAAATACAACAATGAAAATTGACTCTCATTATATTTTTTTCCTAGAAAAATCGATTATCCACAGATATTAGCCTATCGAAAATCAGTAACAAATGAGAAAGTAAGAGAACAAGGTCATTATTCTAATGTAAATTTTGGAAGGAGAATTTATTTATTTATACAAAATATATATAATGAAGCTTTTAGTTTGTAGATTTCACATTCAATCTGCTTTCTATCACATACTTAACCTCTTTTTGTCCAGAACTCTACAAAACTATGTATACTTGGCATACATAATCAGTAATCAGCCTTCAAAAAATAAATGGGGTTGATTATAATTCATGCTGAAATCAACGTTTTTTTTTGCTTGTAATGTATTAAAAACAGAAATAGCAGGGTTTTTTGTGACAGAAATAAGAATTATGAAAATATTCGAATGGAAATTGAGTAAAAAAATAGGAAACGTATTTCCACATAATTTATTTTAATAGGATAAAAATAGTAAACTTATTCTATCTATCAATATATGTATCTGTAATATATAATATACAATACAGAGATGATTATCAGTGATATATCAATATATGTACTCGAACAATGTCCTTGAGCTAGTTTCAATTTGATGATAATAGCAGGCATCGAAATGAATTGAATATTGAACGAAAACTAATTCCATCCTGTTTCCCCGGGAGAATTGATTGTATAGTTGATAAAAATAATAATTAAGGATAATTAATAATAGTTGATAATAATCAGTAAAAAAACAATGAATATTTTGTGGAAATATAATAAATTAAAATAATAATAACTAGTAGTAGTGAATAGTTTTTTTCAACTTGAAAAAAAAATAATGAACTTTAATGTTGTTTAGAGTATAAATTAATTATTAATCAAAGATGATGATTTTATACTGTTCTAACAGTGAAATATATAAATATATGCTTTAACACTGTTGGATGTTGGCTCAGTGGTTCAGAGGTTAGGTGTTCAAGTGCAAGACTGTGAAGGTCCAGGGTTCGATTATCACGAGTAGCGGGAGTCGTGAATACTCAATGTTGAAGAGTCCTATACTAGTATGAAACGGCCATCCAGTGATTCCAGGTTTCTAATGGCAGTCTAACATAGATTGATTGATGAATTCAATGTGTAAAAGACACTGATCTTCATGAATCGAATTAAAAAAAAATCGTACAATTCGCTCACTAGTGACTAGCTTCGTGGGGAAATTCTCTGAGTTCTAGTGAGAAGACAAGACAAGACTAGTGGAATTCCACCCTGTCGGGTGTAAACAGTAACTACCGAAGACAAATGGGTGAGGTTGCGCAAAATCCCTAGATTGATCAAAGTTAGACATTGAAACCGTTGGATGTTGGCTCAATGATTCGGAGGTTAAGCGTTCAGGTGTGAAACTGAAGGTACCGGGTTCGATTCCTTCGATTAGCGGGAGTCGTGGACGCTCACTGTCGAACAGTCGCATACTAGGATAAAACGGCCGCCCAGTGTTACCAGGTTTCTAATGATGGCATAATAATGATTTATTCATGAAATTCATGATAAACAACATAACTCTCCATAACTCCATTCCTGGAAAATATTATACGTTTTCGATGGTTCTTGTTGACTTCATCTACCATTTTGGATGTTTATATTTCATCTGTACGACTGATATTTTTATAAGGATTCACATGTTACTATTTTTCTTCAGTAAGCCAAACGAAACTGACTTTTGTTCGCTAGCATATTGCGCATTGAATAATAATACTGATATTTCCGATATTCGAATGTTGAGATGATGGTAAAAATTTGTAGCTCAGGTGAATGATTGATGAGATGATGAACAACACCATCCGCACAAACTTCAGAGATTTGAATGTTGCTATATGTTTGAATTTCAAGAGTTAATTGGCTGAAAAATAACAAGCTGATATTCGAATAAGGGTTACCTGCTTTCGAATTTATACCGATTAATAAAATTTTAAAAACATATAATGACAGTATAAGTTAATGTAAGTTTTAGAGGATGTAAAAACCTTTACATATCTGGGGAAGTATCATTGATGAACACAGTGGATCCGATGCATATGTGAAGGTGCTGACTGGCGAAGCGAAAACATAATTTTTGCAAATAAACAATACCTTCAACCAAAACACCAAAATCCCAATTTTCATTACAGGCATCAAAACAGTTCTACTGATCGGGGCGTATAGCGGGTGAACCATGAAAGCCATCATTCACAAGATACAGGTGTCAATTAAGAATTGTCAACATAAGGTACTTCAGATTCTTTCGGTGGATATCATCAGTAACAAACTAGTGTTGGAGAGAACAAATCAGATTCAAGAAGACGAAAAAATGAGGAAGTGATGCTGGAGGAGAATAGAACACACATCAACAAAAGTAGCTAACTGCGTCACAGGACAAGCCCTAACTTGGAATCGTCAATGCCAAAGTGAAAGAGGAAGACCAATGAACACATTCTGTTGAGAATTAGAGACAGACATGAAAAGAATGAACATCAATTGCATACATTTAGAAAGCAAGCTCTCGGACAAAGTAGACTGAAGAATGCTAGTCAGTGGCCAATGCTCAATTCAGGGCTAAACAGGCATAAGTAAGTAAGCACTAAGTTTATGTGAGTGTTACCGGGATAATCAAGACGATTGAATGCATAGCTTGGTTAATGGTTAGGCAGCATACACAGCAATCAGATAGTTAACAAAAGACTGAAATCATTGGTCAAATACTATGCTACATGTGGTGCGCGCTACTTATAAGTAGTATATGACGCGAGTTAAAACGTAATGTCTGGCAGCAGAAGACGGGGGAAGATCGAGAAAGGAAGAGTGGGAACACAATGGAATTTGTATGAAACGCATGAATAGTGAAATGTCAGACAATGGATTGATGATGGATTGAAGATTTGCAAATTAACGCTTTACGATATGGTTTTCCAATTTTACTGATTAACTCTGTAATTTGCGATAAATACAATTCGGTTGCCCTCACCTGTGTTCTCCTTCACTACACTACATAGTTGCATAACTGTCATTTTTATTACATAGAATTAACATAATTAAAAATAACTCACTCATAATATAACACCAACATACCGCGTATCATCAATGAAAAATGAAAGAGTTGAAACAGAATTAATTAGCTTATATTTCTATTTCTATCACATACACTATATTTCAAAAGAATATAATTATGCTTTGAAGTTAAACAAAACTTTCCAATTCAAACTTAATCCTAATTAATGATAAACTAGTTTTATGGAGAAAAAAAATATTTACTCGATTCTCTTTGTTCACTATTTCTAAATCACATGACAATTTGAATAAGTGTTATTTTTTTTCCTTAGATTTCTACATCCGAGTGTAGTTTGCTAGTAGTAGTAGTAGTAGTAGTAGTAGTAGTAGTAGTAGTAGTAGTAGTAGTAGTAGTAGTAGTAGTAGTAGTAGTAGTAGTAGTAGTAGTAGTAGTAGCAGAAGTAGTAAGAGTAGTAGTAGTAGTAGTAGTAGTAGTAGTAGTAGTAGTAGTAGTAGTAGTAGTAGTAGTAGTAGTAGTAGTAGTGGTAGTAGTCGTAGTCATGGTAAAAAAGAATAAATCATAATTTTTCTAATCGAACATTTTGAATTTTCTGCCAACTTAAGTAGGTGAATAAAAAGCCAACAGCCAATTCGTTGATTGTTCATTAGTCAATGTTGTTTATACTCATAAAACAATAGAATACCTCATTGTAATGATTATCATGGTGTAATTTTTCGTACGATTGATTGTTTGAAATTTTTAGTAAAAATTTAGTGAATATGGAATTTATGATTGTCAATTTATTAGCTAACTAGCTAACTTTCTTACTTATTGTTGGGGACGTTAGATCTCCAGAACTCATTTGATAAAGGTCCTGATTTTGGGTTGATCATTTAACCTTGAGATTACATTTCCCATCAGGAAAATCCTTAGCTGTTATTGGTTGATGCATTAATTTATTACGCTATTTTCATGACTCTCCCAAGGACGTTTCTATCATCTATAAATAAACCCGATTTGTGTTCTTGTCAACCTGGATTTTCTGAATGCTTTTAGAATACAATTTGTTCGTCTTGTCAAGACTTCTTTCCTCTACATAGTGGGGCCTTGGGACACTCGGATTACATTAGCCTATCGTATCACTGTATCATTTGTCTTTGCTTTCGTTTACCAACTAAGGTGAACTCGTAATATTTTCAAGCATATTAATCAACGAGCATAAACCCTAAATGGAGAGAATTTCGCATTCCTCAACGAACACTGTCCTTTCCGGTGCTACTCATTCGCTATTCGTTCTTTTCGAGTTTGGTTCCTATTCAAGACACAATATGTTATGGAATTGAAGGCATCAGTCATGATGCAGTTGAATGATTTCCACAGTGTGTGTCCTATCCACCTACAGCTCTAGTTTCTAATTTCTTCCCCAGCTGCAATCTTTTCTGTTTACTGCAACACTAGGTTGTTGCTGATGGTGTCTGGCCAACGGATCTGAAGTATTTTGAGTAGAAAATTGTCAATAAATGCTTGTATTCTGTGGATGATAGCTTCGCAGTTCTCCAAGCTCCCGCTCCATACAGTGGAACTGTCTTGACATTTGTAATGGAATTTTCGACTTTTGTGTTGGCTGATAGCCGTTTTGAGTTGGAGGTGTTGTTCGACTTTAGAAATGCTGTCTCTGATTTTTTGATCCCGGTCTTCACATCAGATCCACCTTGCTTATCAACAGTGCTGTCCAGGTATGTAAAGGTTTGTACATCCTTCGAAGCTTCCCCACCAAGTGTGATTTGGTTGGTACATGCTGCGTTGTAATGAAGAATGCCGCTTTTAGCCTTATGCATGTTGAAACCTACAGATGCTGTGGTAACTGCTGCACACGTCATTTTCCTACATTTGTTGCAGTAGGTGGCACAGACAGTATAGCTCATCTGTGAAGTCCAAATCGTCCAGCTGCATCCGAGTTTTCCACTGTTGAGAGATGTTCAGAAGTTAGCGTCTTCACATCGCAGTGAACCATCATCAGAAAGAGATATGGTGCCTTTGTATGATACCGGTTTACACTTGAAATGAATCTGTGAGTTGGCGAATGTTAATTTGTTCCATTATAATTTGTCTGTTTATAGCTGTTCTTTCGATTGTGTTATATGACAAATCCACTAGTTGACTTATCGGCCTCAAAAGGTGAATTTGAATTAGTTTGATTTCCTTCAGATTGGTGCGTTCCTTAATTGTAAACGTCGTGTTTGAATGTTGTTGACGATTGAGATTGTCCATATATGCATTTATATGCGCAAGTCTTAGTAACTTGAAGAATTGTCTTATTGACTCTTGGGTTATTGGGGCCAAATATCAATTTTCCGCTGAAATATTCAATTCCTATTTTATACAACAAGTAGTATGTAGCGTCATTTCAAGCTTAAATGGTTTGTCCTAGCTTTTGGAAAAAGTAAATGGTTTACTCAGCACAAGTAATTATTCACACCTCTCTAACCTTCTTAATTAATTATTCACTGATAACTTTGGCTGGTTTTATTTGTGTGTGTGTGTGAGTGAGTGAGCTTTAGTTACTTCACTTATCACATGTTCAGCATACTTTCGTCTCACTACAAATACTTCATTATGCCTCATCAAATAGAGTTGGCTTAGTCGCCTTCTCTGTTTTACTTCGGTTTTATGCTCTTCACTCAAATATATGGCCGTGAATGCAAGCGGATGGAAATGAAACTGCATTGAGCATCTGAATATCTTCAACGCTTAAACGGAATTCGACTTAGTGCGATATACGTAAATTAGATTGAAGATTTATTTACTCATTAGCATAGCTGATCGTTCGTCCGAAATGGGTCAACTATTTTATTTTTCTCAGTTGTGTTTGAGGCAGAAATAAGGAACGTCTTGTGTCAAAACTATTATTCAATCTTTTCTAAACGCAGAGAAGTAGCTTACCTATTGAACTGCATGGGTCTCCATTAGTATTTCTTCAAAGATTACAAATGTCAAAGATGGGGATTTCCAGCATATTACAGTGAAGTTCGAAAGAATAATGAAGGGGCTACCTATAAACAGAAAGGGTAAATCTAGAGGGATAACCCTAACCCTGACTGACTTAACTGAGTGAGACTTAGGTTATGGATTTCGGCTAATGTTCAACTTTATGTTTAGTAGTGGTTGTCACAATTACTGATAGAAACAAAAAGATAACAGAAACCCCATATAATCTAGAAATCAAGCAATAAAGTCACTTACTACTGAATCAAACCATATCTGAAAAGAAAATCATTTTTGTTAAAATCTACATAATAATCCTTATCTACAACTAAACATAATATAAACTGGAAATTCCTTATTGACTGATCATTTGGATAGAACTGGAAACGAAGGCCTAGGATAGAGAAGTTAGAGGATAATAGTCGGCGGTCTATATTCTATTAAGAGTAACGGACGTTAGTAATTACCGAAAAAGGTTCAGTACTTACAGTTATGAGAATATCAAAAAAGATTATCATCGGTTAGAAGTATTTCTACAATAAAAAGTATCTAAATATTTTTCATTAGAAAAATCTTTCCGCAAGTTTGAACTTTTTCTATTTCCATTTAGTTGTAACATTTAAGTTTGTACTAGAATTCAACATTTACTTATTGGATTTTGTTTGAGTTTTCAAGTAATATTTTACGATATGCACACCAAAAATGTGTTGGTTTTTGATAAAAGTCAGAAGATTACTTGAACCGAAACAATTTATGATCAGATAATTTTATAGATTTACGTTGTTCATCATTGAACAGAAAAGTGAAATGTTAAACAGTCAATAAAAATAAACAAATCCTATTGATATTAATTTGTTTATAAAAAAAAGCAATGGTCAGCCCTGGAAATGTAAATTTTTATTTTCTGTTACGACTAACAAATTTTCTGTTATTTATGTAGTAGTCATTATATCCGTTGTTGATCAATCACAAAGTAATAAATTTAACTTATGAATGAACTGCTATTAGAAATCAAGAAGCACTGGACGGCCGTTTCATTCTAGTTTGGGATTCATCAGCAATGTGAATGCATAAAGCCTATACCTTAGAATCGAACTCAGGACCTTCAGTCTCGCTCCCAAACTCTTAATCCCTAAACCACTGAACTGGCATTCATCAGTGTTACTGTCTAACTTTCATCGATCCCATCCATAGTCTTCGTTAGGTAACTGCCTACACCGGAGTTGGTTGAACTCGATTAGTCACAGCTTCTCACTAGAAATCTGAGAATTCTTTCATGAAGCTAGTCACAAGTGAGCGCATTGTATGATATTTATTACGGAGTTAAGGAGATTGTTGGAAACAGTGGACAGCAGGTTCGTTCGATTCTTGTGTGTGAGGTTCGTGAATATGCACTTCTGATAAGTTCCATACTAGGACGAAACAGCAGTTCAGGGTTTTGAAGATTCTAACCGTGATCTAACCTTGATCGGTTCATCATTTCAATAAACTCAACAATCTTCTTAAAAAATTATTAACTCACACAGAATATTCAGTGATTCCATGATTGAGGTCGTGTTAAGAAAAAATACACTGTCAGAGTAAACAGATCTTTACAGACGTTGTATAAATGATGTTTTTCAATTATGTTGATCAACATATATCAGTACCGTTTAGAGGAGGTATGACGAAATAGGTTAACAGCTTCACCCATTTCTGACTGCGTAAACAATGAACAACAGTTTAAGCTTTCTCTGTTCCATATCACGTTCTTAACAATCTATCTAAAATAGCAAGACTATGACTCCTCTACAGAGCTGTAGCCATCAGAGTCAATTCCAAGTGACCTTACTCATGTATTTGACAGAGGTATTTATAGATTGTGTTTATTTTGGCTCGCAAGTGGAACATAGTATACCTAAAATGGATATTTTAAACATCTTACATCTTACCTCCCGAATCCCTTTAGGTTCATATCGGAACTGTCCCATTCTTAATGTACACATCCTTTTTTCCCCAATTCACATAGTTATCTTGTGTACTATTATGTCAAGCCGACAGGGATTGCCTCAGCCTTTGGACAATTCAATTAATCCATTCTTCTCGAGTCATTATTAATTCACACGTCATCTGACCTTGCCAAATATTCGCTTTCATCTTGGTTGTTTTGATTCGAATGTGTCTGTTCCAAATTGCTTTGTTTATCGCATGTCTAGCTTATTTTGTCTGACTATAAATTAAATTAGTCACGGTTCGTCATATTTGGTTAGCTCGCTCGCTCGCTCGCCTTCTCAATATCGATTCGCTTTGCTTATTATATGCTTTGTCTTCTCATGTCTGTCTGCATGAACGATTGCTTGAAATAAAAATTAATCCAACCGAATCCTTATTTGACATCTTGTTACCGTCGTCGCACAAAAGGGGCTCGCCTAAGTATGATACACGGAAACTGAAGAGGAGAAGATTTATTTCATAACATATTTAATTGTTCGTAAATGTCGTAGTCAGATCACAGCCCACTAAATTCGATAACATTTCCCTGCTTACGTGTGACATTCACACACATCATGATTATCATTTAACTTAGACAGTATTCT